GATTCTTTTTCATCATTGAAAACCTCTGTGACCGTCCTTTCAGATAAATCTTCATGCAGATTTGCATACATAAGATATGAAGAACATCGTTCAATGCCACGGGATATGTATAATCAATTATGGCCAGTATTTCACTCCACAGAAGTAGCACAACTTCCTTAATCAATCTCTATAAGTTTACTAGTACCTCCCTGAGATGTTGTTTCTATTCTTTTGCTATCATAAACAATAGTTTCATCATCTTTGATAGAGACGTTCTCAACACAGAAGAGTTTTGATTACAGATTTTGTAGGTTGGATAGTTTGATGGAAGATGTGTATGCTGCTAACATATACCTGACTTCCTGCAGTGACATCAAGTCTAGGATGCTGGAGCCAGGTGAGGAGGCCAAGCCCACATAGACTTTGTGGCCTTCCAGGCCTTTGAGAAGACGTGCTTGAGGTTTGCCGAGAGCCTGGATCAGCATGGATTCTGTAGGGCATCATACTGTTGTCTGCCAAGATGTTTCAGAGAGCCTCAGCTGACATGGGGCACATCAAATGAGGAGTCATGTCCTATTTTTGAAAGAACCCCCTAGCTTAACAATCTTGTCAGAAGAAAATTCACTAGTGATATATGAAGATAAATGTTTTGTTTTGACCTTTGGCCTACACAATGACTAGTGCTCATATTTTATTCTCAATGTTCCTAATTCTCAAGTCTCTTCCCTTCAGATTGTAAGCCCACAGGCTGGTTCTCCTGTCTTCATGTGGTTGGATCTTTCTCTCCTCTCCCCCACCAACCACCACTCCCCGGCATGTTACTGGTGTTCAAAAACAGTTGTTTGCTTAGAAGGTAAAAAGAAAAACAAAATACTAATATGAAAGTCAAAATTACTGAAATTTTAGGGACAGAAGGTTATCTTTCTTCATGATGTTAGAAAGATTGTTTTGATAGTAACGTATTTAATGGTTTAAAAGAAAGTCAAGGAGGCATTAAGCCCAGAAAAAAATGGCCAAAGTTTCAGAAGAAGGATGTTGGTGGAAATTAGGAGAAATAAAAATATGTGATGATTCTTTCATTGACAAGAATAAGAAAAAGAGGCTATGATATGGAATATGGTTAATTTTTGGCAGTTAATAAACTGCACTTCTGTTATTACAAACCTTGGCTGTTGATTCCTAATTTAGAAGATTATATTCACCAAATGTTGATTTTTAAGCATGTTTTAAGTGCTTAAAAATGAGAAACAAATTTAAGAATCATAACCTATTATAAATGAACCTTATTTCATAATCTTATGAATTTTTAGTTATAAATAGATATAAAATTCAAAAGAAAATAAGAAATATTTATAATAAAGTATTTCTAATCACAATTTTTTATCTTTATGATCATTTAATTTACATTTTCCTACTTAGGAAGGTATCTACTTTAGTATTAATATTACCATTCATTTTCACCTCTATCTATAGTTTAGCAGTCTGATGTTTGCATGTGTCAATGAAGTCCTCACATAAAGACTAGTGTGTGTATTCTAGAGAAAAAGGAACGTCAGCAGCTGACAAAACAAAATGACAGTTTAATGTGAACAGAGCTAGGATTCAATATAACATTTTGTTGCAAAGTTGAAAGTTCAGCTCAAACTAGAGAGCAAATACTCTAGTCTGCATGTGGTGCTTTTTTTTAAAATGAAAAAAGACGTTATCTTCATCATTGTAAGGATAGTGTCTTTTGGAGAGATTGAATAATTATTTGCTCTGTGGAAGATACGCTTTAGCACAGTCTTATCTCTCATTATTATAGAGTTGATCATTACATGAGAGTCAGGAAAAGGCAGCCTTGAAAATTGGGACTAATTTTACTGTACGTGAATTCAAACACAGATTCCCTTTTTATAAATTTTCAATTACTGATGTGACTTTGGATATAGTGAAATAAATATAAATGTCTTTCTACGTGGAAACTTATTTCGTTTTACCAGTTTGTTTTCCTAACTTTCTGTGGATTAATTTTTAGAATTTGGGTGAATTTGTTCCCATTGGCATACCGGCACGTGCCTCCAAACCTTGGGGCTCTACTCCAGGAATTTCCTGGGTCCCTTCTGCACCAATGGCAGGGGACTCACTCTGTACTCCTGGGCCCTGGGCAGAGAGGCAGTTCCAGTGGATTATGCCCTTTGTTTGAGAACAAATAAGTGGAAGGAGCCCCAGAAGTGCCTGCCTCCCGAGACTTCGTGGCCCCCACTCTTTCGAAGCTAAGGAGGGCTAATGATAACAAAGACTTTGCATGGTTTCTGTTAAACTGGTGTTTTTGTATCTTAGCCTTTGTTTTGGGCTGGCTTCCTGTCACATGGGCCTTGGAAGGACTGAGTCCATATCCTGGTGGTCGTAGGTGGCAGTTTCCTTTAGGAAGTTTGAGATACTGTGTAGACAGCTAAGGGAACAATTACTTGGGTAGTTCCAAGACCATCAAAGGGCTCTCTCGGACTGTGGGGACTGATGGAATTGGAGTTAGAGTTTAGAGAGCTAGGCTAAGAGCAATGGGTTAGGGTCCAGGTTCAGGATTAAGTCAATCCTGAGAAATATCCCATCAGCCAGGGATAAATCAGAGCTACAAGTCAGCCGCACCTGGGCACAGGCTTCCACCCCTGACCTTCTGCTGTTCTCTTTCTAGAAATTTGATAAATGGCCTTAACCAAGTCTTCAGCTTCAGCTAATATACTGATGACTCCCCAGTTACATCTCTAGGATTGACGCCACTCCCACATTCCAGGCCCTTGTCCCAATTGCCTGCTGTGTATCTTCATTTGAATGTGCCCTGAGTATCTCGAACTCCTAGTGTCTGAATCTGGATTTAGCCCCAAAAAGGAAAACTAGCATACAAAGTTGTCCCTATTCCTTTTATGTTTTTATCTTAGTGAAAGGTACCATTCTCCATCTGGTTGCCCAAATAAGAAATTCCAGGCAGTTCTCTTCTCACTCACAAAGTGCCCTAAATTCTACCTCTTTCCTAATTGCTGCCAGATCCATCTCCTCTACTTCAGCCCTTTTTGTTTTCTGTTGTTTGTCCCGTGCTTAGAACATTTCCCGACACAGAGCAGGAAGTCAGTAAGTCTTTAGTGAGTGAAAGAACAGGGAACAGACAAAGCCATTGGCCCTCCAGGAAGCAGTTAATTCAGGGAACAGACAAGAACTTAAAAAACATTTTTAAAATAACTAGATTTTGGGAAACATTCAAGAGAAGCTTTTATCCAATAAGCAAGGACACGTTGCTATGAAAAAGGAACAGTCTGAGGAAAAAAACAATTTCTTGGAAGTAATAAATTTAAAAAATGGCAATGGGCAGGCTGAGGAATAAAATTGACATGGTTGAAGAGCTAATTAATAGTCTGGAAAAGAAAGTGAGAAAAGATCTCTTAGAACATAGTGCAAAATGGCAGACAGAAAGTGCGAGAAGAGTTAAAATACGGAAGATAGATCCAAGAGGTCAACACTTTTCTAATAGAGTTTTCAGAAAGCAAAACAAATACAACGGAAGTAAGTCAGTAATAAAAGAAATAAAAGAAAATTTCCATGAGCTAAGAGGAAAGAACATTAATATTCAGAGGGAAAAGCCCACCAAGTACTAAGCAGGATTGAAAAGAAAAATATTCTAGAATATTCGAGAAATATTCTAACCAAACATAAAAGGAATCCAATATGTAGGATGAAGAAAAGAAAAAGAAGAAATTACGTATAACTTAAAAGTGAGGGAAGCTGGAAAAAAATTAAAAGTTGAAACATTAGCACTTGGAAGAATCTCCTTTTAGTGCAAAATTTAGGAAGAAGTTTACATTCCTTTTGTATGGATCCAGTTACACTACTTGGTGCTGTAGTGAATAATATTGACATAAACACATTGTACATGCTATTTGCTGGATTTCAGTTTTTAGAATTAATGTGTAGATAAAGCATGGAGGACTTTACAGTTAGCGAACAATCCTACAGACATTAACAATGTGAAAAGAACAGTCCTAAAAATTGGCTGTTGAGGGAGAGAGAGCGTTGGGGGGGAAAAGACTAAATAAATTTCTCATCTTTCACAGCAGGGGGTTAAGAAATCAAGATATAGAAGTTTACATATATTGAAATTATAATAAAGGCAACCACGATAAGGGGGGAGCATTTGCAAATAAAAAATCGGGCATGTGTGTGAGAGAGAGAAAGTGGAAGTGAATGGGAGTCCTCTAAATTCTTAATCTTTGTTTGTGGGGAGTCTGAATCAATAAAGGCTATTATTTATTTATGATGATAACAATGAGAAAAACTAACCTAAACTGGACAAAAACCCTTGGCTTCTGGAAAGTGAGAGTTTTATAGTCATATATACGATTTGCAGCTTATTTTTAAAATATATGCATGTATTTTCTAGCATTAAAAATCTAAAGTAATATGAATGAAGAAGTGATTAGTGTATAGAAATAAATAGTAATACATGGGAAGTGCCCGGCATGGAGCAGGCATTCAAGAAATTAGAGCTTTTATGGCTGTTGTTACAAATTTTGTTATTTTTGTCTGTGGCAGCTGATGTCAGCTGGCTTCTCTCTGCCCCTTCAGATATAAGTTGAATTGGTCAGACCCACACTCTGTGCCTTGTGGCAGCCTAAGGTGTGTCCCAGGGTTTCTGCAGACGCCCACAGCGTCTTCTGGGGGTTGTCCCTGTGTCTGGGCTCCTTCCTTCACTGAACTAAGTCAGTTTCTGAGTCTCACTGGGGTCTGTTTGCCATCCCAGTTCACATTTTCTTTAATCAAATGCTAAATTCAATCCAATTCTGTGATTTCTACTAAAACCACCCACTCTCATGACACCTATGAATAGGTAAGTTTGAAATTGAAGAAGGCACTGGTCACCCACGCCTTTGTCACACACTGACATTCCCATTTGTGGTCTTGCCTGGCTGTCTTCTCCTCTCTCTCTTCTCAGCCCTCCGTTCTGTTGGCTTGGGGGAGCTCTAGCTTCCTTTTACTGTATTCTGCAGGACTTTCTAACTGCTATGCCCAGAGGTAGTTCCGGCTCGGGCTCCGGCTCCAGACCCCGCTCCAGACTTAGATCCAGAGGCTCCAAGGCAGAGTCCAGGCGGCCGAGTCTGGTGACAGATCAAGAGAAGGGAGAGGTGGTAATACGACTTTTATATTCAGTATATTTTCCCACTGCCATCTGCCTTCCTCATCCCCAGAGAGGTATAGTAGCGAAAAGTCATCTTAATTATCATTTAAAATCAAAGGTTTGTTTGGGGCTTGTGACTTCACCGTGTAATAACTGCCCACTTCATTAAAAAAAAGGTATAATGGTAAAATTTGACCAAAAGATAACGACAGAGTAATTCATTAAAAAAAATAGGAGCAAGAAGTTTGGCTTTAATGGGCTATAATTGTCCAATTACAAATGCAAGGTGTAAAACACTAGATTTATGAATTAGATAAGGCAGAGGAGATCCCTGTGGGACTATGGTTGGTGTATTTTAAGTGTCAGTTGCCTTTCGCCAAGCTGCAAAAAAGCCTCATCTTCATGCATTGATTTGAAATGTTATATTTACCTTTGTTTATTTTTTTACCAGATTAAAAATGCACATAAAGAAAAGAAGGTGAAAGAACCAGAGATTATGGTATAATAATGACTAAATGACCATTATTGTTAACCTAATTATTGTTTATATTGATGTGGGCTATTCTTAAAAAGTAGCGGTGATTTTGAAAGCTATACCAAGAGTTAGTGTTGTGAAGAGACAGAGGACCTGATTGCATCCACTGTATGATTCTGGGGTACATCCCTGCTGCACCCAAAGACATCTTTCTCATTCCTTACATGCCTACAATTCCACTGTTAGAGATTCATTCCTTTGGCTAAACTTTGTCCCCTTGTAAAGTATAAACCATACTGAGAAATGACATAAAGCTCCAAAGTGGTTGAATTAGTCAGATCCTTTCCTGAGAACAGTCTTGAAGAAAGAGGAGATAGGGTAACTGGGGGAAGCTGCAGCCTATGATGAAGAGCTGGAAAGGCCACGAGTAGGAGAGGGAAAACAAGATTTAGAAAAAGAGATACCTGGTAGGGGGAAAAGCAATGAAAATAACATTGGTCGCTTCGTAAATTGTCCAGAGCTGGCTGCCTTTAAGTGAATCGTTTACAGGAAATGGAGGCATAAGATCTTAGATTCTTCCAATTTATGAGAATCTGCAAGTCAGTGTAACTCATTATTCCCCAGAATTATTTTTGATAGTACTTAGTCTATGCCTCCTGTGTAACAGAAATAGCCTTTCAGATTTACAGAGAACCAGGGTGTACTGTTCGTGTAATTAACTTTGTGATGTATTTTCTATTGAAAGGCTGCAAGCAAACATTCTCTGGAGGAGGAAATAGAAATATTAAAGGCCAATTTAGAAAATGAGAAAAAGAAGTCAGAAAGGTACTGGTAACAATGATTCATCATTGCCCATTTGTAGTTGATACAATATTTAACCGTCTATAAATCTGTTACAGGTTTAGGAAGGAATCAGAACGGATAAACAAAAGTTGGGAAAGGAAATTCTTTGTTCTCAGGAACAGGTATACTATGGTGATATGTACAAATTTTATTTATAAAAATGTGACTAATTATCTTTTAAAGAAATTAGAAGCCTTGCATTTTTCTGTACATACTAATTAATGTGAAATGCCCTCATGCACTTTTAGCAAGAAAAGCAAAGTAATTGGCCTAATAGAAGAGAAGTCAAAGTCATTTCAAAGAAAAAATAATTCAAGACTGTTTTACTCCCTACCTCAGTGTTTCAACTTTAAAGGATACACAGGACAGATTCTCTCTCTGTCTCTGTCTCTCTCTCTCTTTTTTTTTTTTTTTTTTTTTTTTGGTGAGGAGGATTGTCCCTGAGCTAACATCTTGCCGGTCTTCCTCTATTTTGTATGGAGGACGCCACCACAGCATGGCTTGATGGGCGGTGTGTAGGTCTGCACTAGGATACAAACTCGCGAACCCTAGGCTGCTGAAGCAGAGCGTGCAAACTTAACCACTATGACCCCTGGGTTGGCCCCACAGACTCTCTTGATACCTGGTTTAATGAGACCTACAGAGTCATGTCCCTGACCTGGCTATTAAAACGTTGTCCTGCTCATTCGCACTTCATAATACTTAACCGGTCTTTATCTTCTTTGTAAAATTGCTTGATATATTAGGTCCTCTTCCCTTTTCCAGACAAAACAGCACCAACCCCTTAATTCTTGGATCTATTTCTCGTTCACCTAAACACTTTAATTTCTCTTCCCTGTGTCATCTTTGTCTTTCTCAAAATGGAGAAAGCGACACTGGAAAATTCTGAAAAGACTAAAAGCAATGCCAAGTAGAGAAAATGCCTATTTTTTCCTTGTCCTAACGTGTTAATGTTAAAAATCTATATTCTATTCTCTTGTTTCCTGCCATAATTTCTCCCAGATTCTCTTCTTTATCATGTGTTAGAAGTTGCTTTGCAAGACTTCCTCACGGTCAAGCTTCATTCAAGACGAGATGGATTCAATGTTGGTCTGATGTCACAGGTCAAGCTTGAGGCCCACTCACGACTTCACGGGACAATACTGCCCTACATTTGTACTGTGTCTCATAAGCAAACACCATGTATTACATGTGTGTGTATGAAATTCTCTACATTGCTGTACACATTACATTGAAATAATCCTCGATGACGCACAAAGAATCCACATAACAGAAACACCACCAGATGGTGTGAAAGATCTCCTTGGTAGTAAAATGTTCTGCTTTAATGTCGGAGGAGTTGAGGAGAAAAAGGAACCCTCATACACTGCTGGTGGGAATGCAAACTGGTGCAGCCACTATGGAAAACAGTACGGAGATTTCTCAAAAAATTAAAAGTAGAAATACCATATGACCCAGCCATCTCACTCCTGGGTATCTATCCAAAGAACTTGAAATCAACTATTCAAAGAGACTTATGCAGCCCTATGTTCACTGCAGCATTATTCACAATAGCCAAGACGTGGGAGAAACCCAAGTGCCCATCAACTGATGATTGAATAAAGAAGATGCGGCCTGTATATACAATGGAATACTACTCAGCCATAAAAAGACAAAATTGTCCCGTTCACAACCACGTGGATGGACCTTGAGGGTATTATGTTGTGTGAAATAAGCCAGACAGAGAAAGACAAACACCATATGATTTCACTCATCTGTGGAAGATAAACAAACACATGGACAAAGAGAACAGATTAGTGGTTGCCAGGGGGAAGGGGAGTAGGGGTGGGCATAAGGGGTGAAGGGGCACACCTACAATGTGACTGACAAACAATAATATACAACTGAAATTTCACAAGGTTATAAACTATCGTAACCTCAATAATAAAAAAAATGTCCTGCTTTGCACTCCTGCGTGTGTTTCACATCTGTGCTGACAGCTACTTTGTGCTCTGAAAAACGTGCATATTAATACCCGCCCTAACTACCTCCACAGTTATTAAAAGGACAGAATATAGATACAAGTGAAACGGGACTGAGAACAAAGCTTAAATACGCACTTCGTTTCATGTCCGCACACGTGGATCTTGGACTCCCTCCGAAACCGAGCAGAATGTTTTCGCCTTACTTATTTCTGTGGGGTTCACTTTCATCTTTAAGATTTACCTTAAATCTTATTAGCCTTAAATCTTATTTACCTTACCTTATTTATCTCTCCCTGTGGGATTTATACTATACTTCAAGAATGTCTCAGTTTTACTTCAAATAGGTTTGCTGTTAACCAAGATGTTGACAATCATATTCATCGTTTGGATCTCTGTAGACTTTATGTTAATATCTAAATATTTAGGGTGGCAGGGAGTATTATTACACGCTTTATACGTTTTCTCATTTAATCGACTAACAAGGACGTAATGTTGGGACATAATGCATTCGTCTCTCTGGTTCGGTTGCATCACCGAGTGTTAATTCAAGGTGGCATACGCAACAGCATAGAGGGTATACGTCCAGAGCACGTGTGGTGTGGAGAATAACCGTACAGTCGCAGACTTGTGAGTGCGAAAACGATCATTTCATTTTACCGTAACTGATCTTAGACGAGGAGCACCCATTTTTGTTTAGTAGAGGAAAACCTTAGCCAGCCAAGGTCACAGTCCACTCTAATGATTTATCAGCCAATTCAGGATTTATATTCAGTCCAGTCCAATTCAGAGCTTCATCTCCGAGCTCTTTTTCTGTCTCTGCTGAGTTGGCTCTGTTTCCAAGAAGATCACGCTGAGGCTGTGCTGACAACGGTGGGAGCTAGTCCTTCCTCTCAGCGGGGCATGCCTGGCACAGCTGATGATGTCATCACTGTCATTTCTTTCAGCAGAAATGGTGTGCAGGTGTGGCACATTGGCCCAGGGATAGATCACTATCTGGCTGATGCCACGATGATACAGTCGCTCCCACCTCAGTCCCGGAGTTGGTCCACATGCACCCATTTGAGCCATCCCCTTGTTCTTTCTGGGTTGCTCCCGGGGCTGGTTGGACTTGCTTTTGCCCATCACACTTTCCAGGTCATAGACAACTTACAGGCTGTTCCCACAGCACTCCGGGCTGCATGGATTTCAGAGGCAACACGTACACATCCCTTCTCCCACCCTCCTCTCCTCACACACGCTCAGGAGCTCTAGGCGACCACCGCACGAGCTTGCTGACTATTAGAAATGTAGATAGGACGTGCAAAGCGCGGGCTCACTCTGCTGTTCATTCCCGCCCTCCTCCCCCTCATCCTTGGGTTCGGGAAGCAAGGGAGGTTCAGCTGAACAGAAACCACGCTGCTCCTTACTTCCTCTTCTCTCCCCAGCTCTTTCCTTCTCTGGCTTCCAGCTTGCTTCCCGTGTCAGAGAAGGAGGAGCAGTTTTCCTGGTTACACCTGCCCTTGCCAGTCTCTTTAGTTTCACACCCAACAGGTGTAGACTCTGGCCTCTTTGTTCTCAGCCCCATCAGGGTGCAGTGTGGGAAAAAAGAGAATTCAGTATTTGATATTTTGTTGTCGATAATATAAAAACACTCTATGTATCTCATTGTCACGTGAGCATGCCCACAAAACGTTCATTTTCATCTCATAGGAAATTCAGGTTTTTTAAGAAATGCCAGAACTTAAAACTGATCTAAAAAATAAAGTGTTAAAAAAAAAAAGAGAGAAGAAAAGGACAAAGAAAAGCAAAGCACACAACGAAACTAAGGTTATCAGTCTGAAGATGCTGATCGGAGAAGTAGGATCCACAATGAGTGCAAACTGGGAACTCCGGATTAATGTGGAGATACATGGCAGAGTGTGGAGAGAGGTCCAGAGTCTCTGAAGGGGCACAGCAGAACTTTTTTCCAATTCTTGTGGTTTCCTAGGCTGAGCGTTGGGAGAAGGCTATTAAGTTCACGAAACTAAACTCAGAACTTAGATCTGTCTGAATTTCCCAACTTCCCTTTTAGCTAAGTTCTCCTCCTGATTTGCTTCATTCTTGGCATATATTAATCTGTTCCTAATTATCTTTTTTTTTTTTTTTTTTTTTTTTGCTGAGGAAGATTAGCCCTGAGCTAAACATCTGTGCCAATCTTCCTCTATTTTGTATTTTGGTCACTGCCACAGCATGGCTGACGAGTGGTGTACGTCCACACCCAGGATCGGAACCCATGAACCTGGGCCTCCAAAATGGAGCACATGATCTTAACCAGTAGGCCATGGGGCTAGCCCCCCCTAAATATCTTAACCCAAAGTACTGTCTCCAGTTTATCCAGCCTACTTCTCAGAAGATGTACTTCTAGTTATTTAGAAACAGATCCTCTCTCAAGCAAGCCTCTTCATTGAGGAAAGTTACATTATGTGAAAAATCCAAAGCGTCCTCTTTGCTAATATACGTGCAACCAAACAATTAATCTCAAAGATGCCCACCACGAAGTTGTTAAATGGAATTCAGTCTCAAACTGGCAGAGTGGTCTCAGCATCTTCCCTCTTGTATCTAAAACTATGGAGTAGTTCTCATATTTTTATAAAATTAGAGATTACGCCACACTATTTTTCAAAAATTCCACCATATTGCCGTGTGTGCAGTGGTTCACTTTTTCTGACCGCTGCGTAGTGTTCCACAGGATGTCTTCCTCATGTTACTGATCGCCCCCATCAGCGGTGGACCACCAGCTTTCCTCCAGCTCTCTGTAAGCCCTCGTCCTCTTCAGGTTTGGCGAGTCTGTCTGGTGCCTGTGGAGTGGGGTGGTTGGTCCTATCGTGACGACCAAGCATCCTGGTTTGCCTGGCATGATCCTAGTTTAAGCTGGTCGTCTAGTATAATTCTCAATGGCATTTCCTTCCATTCTCGAATGCGTCCTCATTTGGATGATAAGTCAAACGGTCACCCTCGTCCCAGTGTGCAGGCTAGAGTGTTCTCCAGCAAGGCTGAAAGAGTTCACACTCTCAACAGCAGCCTGTTAAGATTGCTATTTCCCTTTTCTAGGCTCTGGAGCTAGAGCAATAAACAAAGCACATCAAGTCTCTGCCCTCATGGAACTTACTTTCTATGGGGAGGAAATACAATAAACAAGA